AGAAGAGCTAAAAAGAAACTTCTCTGAAGAGGACATGCAAATGGCCAACAGACATATGAAAAAATGTTCAACATCACTTGTAATCAGGAAATGCAAATCAAAACTACCATGAGATACCATCTCACACCAGTGAGAATGGCACATATTAAAAAAACTAGCAACAACAAATGTTGGCGAGGATGTGGAGAAAAAGGAACTCTTGTGCACTGTTGGTGGGAGTGCAAACTGGTCCAACCACTATGGAGAGCTGTGTGGAGATTTCTGGACCTACTAAACATAGAGCTTCCATATGATCCAGCAATTCCACTCCTAGGTATTTACCCAAAGGACACAGAAACATCAATTCCAAAGAGCACCTGCACCCCTATGTTTATAGCAGCACTGTTTACAATAGCTAAGCTTTGGAAACAACCCAAATGCCCAAAAATAGATGACTGGATCAAGAAGATGTGGTACATATATACCATGGAATATTACTCAGCATTCAAAAAAGATAAACACATGCAATTTGCAGCAACATGGATGGCACTGGAAGGGATCATGCTCAGCGAAATAAGCCAAAAAGAAAAAGGAAAATACCGGATGGTCTCACTCATAGCAGGAATCTAGAAAACTTAAATAAGGGACCAGGAAAATGAATATAAGAAAATGAAAATCAAAATCAACAAAAAACTATGAACCAGAGACACTTTTTGGGGGGGGGGGGGCGGAGGGGAAGGATTGGGGTCAGAATGGGCGTTTGCAATTGTATGGGGGAATATAAAAATAAAATTTAATATTTAAAAAAAAATAAATAAATAAAAATACAAAACCAAAAAAAAAAAAAAAAAAAAAAAAAAAAAAACCTTCACTGGCTTCCCCTTTTCCTTAGGGTGACCTTCAAGGCCGTGCTTGCCATCATCAGTCTCCTCAGGCACCTCTTGATCGCTGCTTTCCTTCAGTGCTTCCAGCTGAAGACTTTTAAACATGCTGATCCCTCCACTCAAGAATCCCCCCTTTCCTTCTACACCTCGCTGATTTTTATTAAGCTTTCAGAATGAAACTTTTCTTCAAGTTTCCCCTAACCCTACCACCTATGCAGGTCAGATCTGCCAGCCCATGTCTCTTTCAGGGTACTCACAATAGTTCTAATGAAATACTTTTTGGGGGTAATGAGCTGTTTATTATCTTTCTTGCCTGGGAGAATATCAGTCATGTGTATGTTATTTATGCTTCAATTCTAGCCCAGCCTTGAACGAGATAGGTACTTTATTCAGACAAATACCTGTCAAATGAACAAATGAAGGCCAGCATTTACCAGTGCTGTTTAAACCTTTATCAAGAAAACAGTAGTAAAAATCAACAGTCTCAATGACAGTTTTACTAAAACAACCCCACAGATTCAATAAAGATGCTGCAATATATTTATATCACTTTATAACTGTTTTTTTATTTTTACCTAATATTTATATGTTTATATATGATAAGTTTAATTGTTTATATTATTGTTGATATATAATGTGCAATTGCCCAAACTTAGTTAATGAGAAGTGAAAACATCTTAGAATTAGCAAAAACAGTATTAGAATGAAAAGGAAAACCAAATTTAATCAGAAAACTATTACCATGAATAACAAAAGATGTGTTAGAAGTTCTCATGTATAAAATATTCAAGATGAGTATAAGCCAACACATTTTGCATGATTTTCTTAATTTTTGAAGATTATACCTTTAAATGATACAAATAGCTTGAAAAAATTTCAACAATTTTCAGTATGATGCATTTTGAATGGAAAACAGCTGCAAATTTATACTACACATAAACTTGCAGATAAAAACTGAGTCATCTACTCTATATAATTAAACTAATTTTCAATCGGATGCATTGATAAATAATTTAATGTAGCTCTCTCGCCTCTTCCCTTGAGTTCTTTCTCATCTCAATAAATGGCAATACTCTCCATCTGCTCCTCCTCAATTCTTCTCCACAATAATCTATTGGAATTTTTATATCTTTTAAACAATTTTTATTACTATTTGTTGGCTCTACCTTCCAAAGCTACCTCTTCGGAGAGAGTTGGAGGGCATCTCTCTCCTGCTTCAGGCAAATCTAAAACACTTACAGTCCTCTCTACATTATTGGACTCTGCTTCATTCTCCAATTGCATCGCTGCTTCTTTTTTTTTTTTTTTTAATAGCATAGAAGAACTGCAGTGTAGACCAAAGGTATGGAAGTGAGAAGAAGAGGATTCAGCAGAGACAGAGTGGGAAGCAGAACAGGCGGACTGACTGAAATAAACTTCTGAGGGGAGTAGGAGAGGTCTTCTGTGCCCTATGTGGGTCAGCTCCCTGGCTGGGGATCAAACTCAGGCTGTGGCAGTGACAGCTCTGGGACTCAACCCCTAGGCCACCAGGGAGGCCCCATTTGCACCTCTTCTGATTCATCTGCTTAATCACATTATCCTTCTTCCTGTTTCTACAACATCCAAGCTAGTTTCTATTTGGGATCTCTCCACTTGTAATTCCTCCTGGTTGGAATGTACTGTTTCAGATCTTTCCATGCTATTTCCTTATCATCAAGTCTCAAATCAACTGCCATCACCTCACCCCAGAACCTCACCCCAGAACCTCTCCTCCCTGACTATCCTATCTAAGTTAATCCTCAATCAGTCTTGCTGTTGTCATTCTGTTTCATTTCCTTCTCACTGTTATTGCTACCTGAAATTGTCTTCTCTGTTTCTACATTTATCCACTTACTCCGTCTTCCCCTTTGCATGTAGCTCCTATGTGCATGAATTTTAATCTTATTCCCCATTTACACCCAGTGCCTAGGAAAGTGCTTGGTGCTTACAAAATCTTTATCACATGAGGGAAAACACTTAACAACAATAAAAGCAAAAGCTCGACAAAAATAATCATAACATTGGGCCACCCTGGTGGCACAGGGGTGAAAGACAGCACTAGCAAGCTATCGACAGCCACTGCAGGACTGGTTTGATCCCAGGACGGCCAGGAAGCAATCCACATGGCACAGCAGACCTTTCGTGACTCGCCCGCTGCTCCCCTCAGCAGTGTATTTCAGTAGATCCTCATGTTCTGCTCCCCACTTTCTCTGGTGAATCCTCTCTCCCCCACCCCTGCACCTCTAGCTTACACCCTGGTTCTTTTATACATAAATAAATAAATAAAATTTTTTAAAGATTTATTTATTTATTTGTAGAAGTACTGGGTACAGTCAGAAGCATGGGAGGGCGAGAGAATTCACCAGAGCCAGAGTGGGGAACAGAACAGGCAGACTCGAAATACACTACTGAGGGGAGCAGCAGGCGCTGCAGAAGAGGTCTGTCGTGCCATGAGGGACCCTTGCCGGTGGCCGGGGATCAAACCAGCGCTGCAGAGGCTACGGGCAGCTTCGCAGCCCAGCATTCAACTGCTGCGCCACCAGGTGAGGCCCAATAAATAAATCTTTAAAAAAAATCATAACATTAATATTTACAAAGTGGTATTATCTTATGATCACATGTCATGTGTCTTCATATTATATATATTAACAATACAGTGGGGCTTGTAGATTAGAGAGCTCAAATGTTATAGTGGAAAATACATTATCCTATTAAGTTAGTTTAAATCCATCTCTTGTATAAAAGCTTTCAAAATGAGGAGTTTTAAATAAATAAGTATTATGAATGCAGAAGGAAAGCTATGTTCCTCCTCTGGCAAAAACAAAATGGTCCCTTTAGGATGAAGCCAGAAGCATTTAAAGAAATGCTTTGAGAGCAAAGGTAAATTTAAAAGCTTACAACTGCTATTTTTATTAGGTAACATTACATTACAATGTTATGTAAGTTTCAAATTTGCACCATGAAAATAAATGTGTATATATATTACATTAACACAGAAAGTCTAATAACTTTCACCAGAAAGTTGACTCCCTTTACCCACCCCATTTACCCACCTCCCCTTTCAGCTTCCCTTCTGCTGATGACTAACTGTTCTTACATTCTAAAAGTTTGTTTTTGTTTTATATCGCTCATTTGTGTGTTTTCTCTATATAACGCATAAGAGTGAAATCATATGGACTCTGTCTTTCTCTGTATGACTTATTTCACTATGCATAATACTCAAGGCAAAGAAAATCTACTGAAAGCTCAGGGAAACAGGAGAAGTTTGTTTCCCAAAAGTCAGTAAATCTTATTGCTAAACAGAGGTTGCATGTTAATACCTGAGGTTTTGCATCTCCAAGACCTTTTGCACATCCTTTGTACTTGAAAATGGTATATGTAGAACCCTCCCAATATCCATATACCACATATCACCACATATAGTGTCCCTTACTTACAAGACCTGCTGGCTAGCCACACAATGAATGGGAATGATTCAACTCTGCGCCTCAGGGAAATGAATTACATCTCATGTAATTCTCATGGATTTCCAAGGTCTTAAAAGTCAGAGCCACAATATTTATGAATGTCAAGAGTCTACTCATTTTATTTAAACTGTTTCCACGTGAGAATAAACTATGTTGGATATTAGTTAACATTCTAAAAATAACTCGGAAACTATTTACTCCACTTTTAACTATTGAACACAACCACTAAGATGACTTAACAGTAGCAAGCAAAACAGTGGTGGACACTTTATCTTCCTGTTAATTGATTACTATGTATGTTGCACAACATTGTCTGGAAAAATCTAACGACAATTCAAACTGCAAAGGACAGTAATCATGTCAATATGTGAACGATCTGCATATCTAATGATGAAGAAAGAAGGCAATTTTATGAAGAAGTATTGTTCTAATTCAAGAAACCAGTCATATTAACATATTAGTCTGACATATAGCAGATAGCTAAAAAACTTTAATTTGAAAGATAATTATTTGGGGCTGATTAATATACTTCAAATTAAATTCACTGCTTTTAATGGGCCCATCAACTAGACAACCAGGGAAATTAATAAATTTTGCATGCAGTAATCCTAGGAAATTATACAGCTGAGCTACACATCATTACAAGGATTACCTTCACAATAGGCATTGTCTTCTCGGAGAGCCCTAAAACCATCCCGACAGCTACAAACAGCCCTGTCGTTCAGATTTCTGCAGACAGAATTTTCCATGCAGTTATGCTTTTCAGAACAAAAGTCATAACCTACAAAAACAAACAAACAAACAAAATGTTATTAAGGTAAATGAAGCAATGACAAAGGAAATAAATTTTGCTTATAATGTTCCTTGAATTTTGAATCTGTTTTTCCGGAATGATTTTTAATTGATATCTTCATATAATGTGTATAGGATTCTATGTATGTGCACCAAAAAGTTCTCCATTATGCTGAACTCAATTGATTCCTCCTTCAAGTTAATTCCATGTCTTCTTTGCTTTTGATTGTATGATATCTACTCCCTAATATTCTTTTTTTTAACTCCATCTTTTTTTTTTTTTTTTAAGATTTATTTATTTATTTATTTATTTATACAAGCACTGGGTACAGTCAGAAGCACAGGAGGGTGAGAGAATTCCCAGAGCCAGAGGGGAGAGCAGAGCAGGCAGACTGATGAAGTACACTGCTAAGGGAAGCAGCGGGCAGCAGGAGAGGTCTCGAGCCATGTGGGACCCTCACCCGGCAGCCGGGGATCGAACCGGCTCTGCAGAGGCTGCGGGCAGCTTCGCAGTCCAGCGCTCAACTGCTGCGCCACAGGGGAGGCCCTACTCCCTAATATTCTCATTGCAGTCTTCCAAACATCTGAGCCAAAGATTTTTGGAGTCCAAAATAAAGATTTATAATGTAGAAGATAACAGTGGGAAAATAATCTAAGAATGAACAGTTGAACATTATGAAAGACTCTGGGATGACAGACCACGCCAGATTAAATGTGTAAATCTGTATTTAAAAAATGGAACAGACATACTTTTAAAAAAATAAAAAATGATAGTTACATCACTTTCACAACTTTCTCTGAAAATCTGCAAGGCAAAGCATGTCCATGCCAAGGAAGAGCGTTTTTATGAATGACAAAGATTTCACAGATCCCAGCAAAGAAAAGAAAAACAGAACATTTTATAAACAGTGACACCAATCATGTGTAATTTCTCAGAATCATTTCCCTGTCTGAACCCATTGTTCAAAGATCATCTAAGATATTGAAATAAAAAGTCTGAAAACCAGAATCTATACTTAATGGAAATGACAAGGTTATACATCATTCAAACAATTTTCAAACTTCCCAATGCACAAGTTATCCACCTCACTTTACAATGTCTAATGAATTACTATTTCAGAGCATGTAGGAGAGAAATGAGGACCACAAAAGTATATTCCATGAACCTCAAATAAATTCATCTTCCTATAGCCATGAAAAGACTCATACTTGAGAAAATCATAAAGATGTAAGTTTTAAATTGGTTCATCTTCTGTGTAATCAAATTATCACAGAATGCTGGGATTCAGAGAAAGGTTTGAACAGTCTGCATTACAGCCAGGTTGGATACTCAGGTGCAGTATAATGGTTGGTGTCCATTCCACTGGGGCGCCTAATGATTATTGTGAATATCACCCAAAAACTAAAATATTCCCCCTGCTATATAACCAGTGTATAACAAAGTGTTGTATGTACAACTTAATAGTTCTTAAGAAGGGTGATGCTCTCAAAATGTAATGCATTTATTAAAAGGGGATAGAAAAAAAAGTCAAATGAATCAGAATAAAACAAAGAATAGAAAGCCCAGATAAAATTTAGTCAATAACAACATTTAAGCCACTTGACAACTTTTCTTGACAAGTTTCTTTACTATATAAAATTTCAAGATTAAGGTTGAACACGTAGAAGCAAACAATTCATTTTAAGAAGAAGAAAAGTAAATTTTTTTTCTCATAAGGTCTTTTTTTTAAAAAAATTTTTCTTCAAGTATCTAAGCTGAGACCATATTTTTAAAAATGCATTCCATTATGTTTTTACAATACCTGAAGAAGAATAATTTCAGCTAAAAAGTCATCTTCATACTCTATCAAATAACCAAGCATATCATCAACCTAAAATGAAGAATGTTTCATATATGAAAAAGTTTCATATTTATTCTACATTAAGCCAAAGTTACTGAAATAACTGACTTACCCCTTAAGATATACAGAAATTATGTTATAACACATCTGAATCTGTGTAATAGTTCCTGTAGTGTTCCAAGCAATGTTTAGAGGTCTGTGACTAAGAACAGGAACTATTGCTGATAAATTTTAATTTTTTATGAATTCATATTTTTTCAAACCTCTCTTTTAACTTGGCAATTGCTGTATTTCTTTTTCTGTTTGTAAGATACTGGCCAATCTATGCCATCACTGTCTATGTCACATCTCTTATAACCAATTTCCAGCTACTTCTCAGCAATGGTAACCCCATATCAGCATCAGATACTATGCAATGTGTGATTGATGGAAGAATTTTTCTTCCCTCAGGTAACAATGTGACCCTCCTTACCTATTGTACTTAGGAAGTACTTTACTGTCTATCAGCTGGATATTTTTAATAGACCCAGAGACTTGAAAAAAATTTGTCATTCAAATTTCTGATTTCCTCTAAACAGTCAGAAAACTAAGTTGAGTGATGACACTGGTTGTATTTCTGCTTAGATACAAACTGCCAGGGTCAAAAAAGTAACAACCAATAGGTAGAAGGTTCAGAATAAATTCAAGTGGATTGTTTCTAATCTATAAGGAACAACTTCAAATATCGGTTTAAAAAAAAAAAAAGCAAAAAGCCATAGCCTTGTTACCTTACCTTCATAGTTGCATTTCTATTTGTACATGCTTGCTTTTTTGGAGTTAGATTTACATCCAATCTCCACAATCCACTGATTGTGTAAATTACTAGATTTTACATTAATTGCCCTTGCCAAACCTTCAGTTTTTATCATGGAATATTAGAGTAATATCTACCTCACAAAAATGTCAGGTTCAAATGAAATTGTATAGGTAAAAGCATAACAGCACAGCATTTGTTAATAATTAAAGTGGTCAGGGTGTTACTTAGAAGAAGTCAAATATGTTGAGATAGATAGTTATCACAGAAGTAAATGCAATATTTGTGATGGGTGGATCAATAATCTAACCTTCTTTTGATTTCCTCCTCTGGAGTTAAATACTAAGTTTTATATGCCTTTTGGAAGTTTTTCAAATTTACAAAAATTCCTGTATCTTTTATTAAATGTTGTTCTTTCTATAAAATGTTAATATGGGGCCTCCCTGGTGGCCTAAAGGTAAAGTCTCAGCACTATCACTGCTGCGACCTGAGTTCAATCCCTGGCCAGGGAGTTGACCCACATAGGGCACAGCAGACCTCTCCTGTCTCTCCCTCTGCTCCCCTCAGCAGTGGATTTCAGTTAATCCACCTGTTCTGCTCCCCTCTCTGTCTCTGGTGAATCCTCTCACCTCCTGCACCTCTGGCCTACACCCCAGTTCTTCTACACAAAATAAATAAAAGGTGAATATGCATTTCTCTGTAACTGGATTGAAGGAGAGAGTGCATACAAAGGATTATAAGTAAGAACAATTTGCTCAAAGTTTATATACACAAAGACAAGGTCAGAGAGAACAGAATTGCTTTGTTGTGTGTATGTGTTTTGGTGTTATCCACAGATCCGTCCCCACCTCACACAATGCATGATGAAACAAAAGCTGGATAAAAGTGGGGTGTTAGGTGACTATGACTTGGTGGCACTGCAAACAGAGGAGAAGGAAGGGGAGGAGGGGAGGGAGAGGGGAGCTGTAAACATGGTAACTTCATCCCATTCATCCTCATCTTTCTAATTCAGTGTCCTCACTGCATCGCTGAGTCTCTGAGAAGCTGTAATTTGGAATAAGCTTTCTTAAAAGGGTTCTCACATCTGAACAAAGTAAAAAGCACAGCCCCGTGCCACTGCTTCGAAACTACTACTGCAGAAAATAGTCAGCTGCAGGAGACCTAGCAAACAGTCTTGTTTGGATTTTATTTGGTACCTAGAGATTTGGAGCCTTATTTCGCTGCACAGCTTGGTCTCCAACGGCTGGCCGGGCCTTTAGTGGAAAGGTCCACACTTTAATCTCATGCTCTGCCCTCAGGGAATATTTACAAACTGTTGTTGAACAACTGACTCTTTCAGATGTGTACAGAGCATCTTTAACACCAGGCAGACAGGCCTGGAAACTAAAGGGCAATTTTATTACAAATGAATTTGTCACAAAAAAAGTGTAGGAGTTGACACAAAATGTAGGCCTTGAGAACTTGGCTATTTTTTTTTTATGTTAAAAGTCAGAGAGAAGACCAGGAGAACTCATTTATTTACTCTATATATCTGAAGTCAGAAATAATCTTTATTATAAATGGTGCTAAATGTTTCAAGAAGCACTGACTTAATCCAATTTCAGCTCCAGGGTTATCTAAGCCAGTGGTTCTCTATCCTGACTGTGTTCAAGTATTTACTGGATTTTTTAAAATTTTGTAAACAAGGATCCTTCACTCATTTATATCAGACTCTCATGAAGGGCATGTGGGTCACAATATATTTTGCCATTATATTTCAACTGTGCTATGTAAACATTATTATTTGAAACTCGAAGTAACGAAAATATAAAACAACTCTTGTAGCTAGTTTTTCATTTCTTAAGTTGCTTTTTGTAACATATCAAGACTTTTTTAAAAAGGAATGGAGGTGATAGGGGCATTTCTTGACGTGGAAAGTCCCCATCTCAGCTTCTTACCCAAATCTTGACTAACTTCTATATTATTCACTTTTCTAATCTCTGCATTACTGCTGGCCATTTCTGGTGGATTAAAAATGGCCACAATTTTTTGACATTTCTCCTAGCACAGTGTATTCTTTGATTAGATCATTCGAATATGGTAGCAGTGACACTGTGTTGGTTCCAGACCTAGTCCTTTAGAGACCCAAGCCACCATGTGAGAAATCTAACTATTCTCCTGACGGAGAAATCCAGAGATGATGTGGACAGGAAGAGTCTTCCTACTTCTGCCCAGCCTTCCATCTCCCTACCAAGATGCCCATTATACAGTGAGTCCATTTTGGACCTTCCAGCCCAGGTCATCATCCAACTGAGTGACCCCAGTTAACATCTCATGGAACAGAAGAATCAGCTGGTGAAGCCCTGTCTGCATTCTGACCCACAATAGTGTGCTGTATAATAAAATGGTGGTTGTTTTAAGTCCTGGGGCTTTGAGACAGTTTGTTATACAACAACAGAAAAGAATTCAAACTGTGGTCCCACTGACCAGTAACATCAGTATCACATGGGAGGTTCTTAGAAAGTCAGATTCATGGTCTTGACTCCAAACCCACTGAACCTGGGAGTGCATTAACCTTTCTGGGCTGTCCATGTGCACATTTAAGCAAGAGAAGCACCAGAAGAGCCTACTTACGGCCGCCTAAGACTCTAGTCAAACTGCAGACTGCGGTTCCAGGCCCCAAGTCAAATGCCTGGAATGAGTTCTTCTTAACTCAGCATATTCAGCACATGCTCTGTGCAAGGTCCTGGCACAGGCATGTAAGCATATAAACCCTAGTGGTCTTTCTTGGTTGTTTATCAAACATACTTTGTAGTAGTGCTCCTTAGTTCCTAAGAGTTTCCCAAAGTTCCTTGAAGGGCAGACCCAGTCTTAAACCACTGTGAAACTCCCAAAGAGCCTTTCACAAGACTGTTTTTAACACTCTTAATTTGAAGGGATGGGATAAGGAGTGAAAAAGAAAAAGAAAAAAACTGTATCAACTGACTAAACATGGGAAATGAGGGACCTTATGTTTACTTTTTATAGATTAGGTTTTTATAGGTTTTATAGATTAGGAAATAGGAAATAAACTGTTTTTCAAGGTTTTGGTGGTTTTTTAATTTATTCTATCTGTTTTACATTAACATATTGGTGATTATTGAGACTAGTGCTTGTAGCAAATTTATGGTGGCATGTTACACAGTGCTGACTATAAAAATTAAGAGAGCCAACTATATCCCAGGTGTCATACTAGGAATTAAGGACGTAGAAATGAATACAAAGGTCCATCCCTGTCCTCTAAGTGCAGAGTCTAATGAAGGAGATGGACTCACAGATATATGATTTCAATATAATAAAAGAAGACACATAGAATTTTGTGATCAGGACTCTCCAAGAGTTCTACGAACTCAATCCTTTGGCCTAGTATTTCAATGAGGAAGAATATACCAAGTTGAGAAACCTTTAGTGATGGGGAACTCACTGCCTCTTGAAGCAGTTCACTGCATTTTTTCTTTTTAGGTATTTTATTTTTGTGTAGAACAGGGGTGTAGGCTAGTGGAGGGGAGATGAGAGGATTCCCTTGAGACAGAGTGGGGAGCAGAACAGGCAGATTGACTGAAATACACTGCTAAGGGAAGCAGCGGGTGAGACTGGAGAGGTCTGCTGTGCCCTATATGGGTCAACTCCCTGGCCGGGGATTGAACTCAGGCCATAGAGGTGATAGAGCTGAGCCTTAACCCCTAGGCCACTAGGACAACCCCAGTTCATTGCAGTTTTTAATAGTTCAAATTTTACTAAAAAATTCTAAGTTTCTTCTGTTTATTGGTTCCAGGCTTATCATCAATATGTCTGATGGTCTCTCACAACAGCACAGAAGTCTATGAAGGAGAATGCAATTGAGAAGAAAAGAATCTTAAGTCATTAAAATGGTCATTTCTCCAACCACTATATGGAGAGCTGTGTGGAGATTTCTGGACCTACTAAACATAGAACTTCCATATGATCCAACAATTCCACTCCTAGGTATTTACCCAAAGGACACAGAAACATCAATTCCAAAGAACACCTGCACCCCTATGTTTATAGCAGCACTATTTACAATAGCTAAGCTTTGGAAACAGCCCAAATGCCCAAAAATAGATGACTGGATCAAGAAGATGTGGTACATATACACTATGGAATATTACTCAGCATTCAAAAAAGATAAACACATGCAATTTGCAGCAACGTGGATGGCACTGGAAGGGATCATGCTTAGCGAAATAAGCCAAAAAGAAAAAGAAAAATACCGGATGGTCTCACTCATAGCAGGAATCTAGAAAACTTAAATAAGGGACCAGGAAAATGAATAACTATAAGAAAGTGAAAATCAAAATCAACAAACAACTATGAACCAGAGACAGTTTTGGGGGGGTGGGCGGAGGGGAGGGATTGGGGTCAGAATGGGGGTTGCAATTGTATGGGGAATATAAAAATAAAATTTATTATTTAAAAAAAATAAATAAAATAAATAAAATGGTCATTTCGTTATGTCAAACAAAAACAATCTTAAGAGAAATGAAAAGCAAATCAAAAAGTCAATAAGTAATAAAATAACTCAGCACTGCTGTATAAATTTATTCAACAGTCATTCTGACTCAGAACACATTCAGGGAGAAGTTTAGAGAGGCAGACCTTGAGACAGGTCCAAGCCACCTAGCAGAAACATTCATTTATAGTCAATAACTATAATAAATATTTGATGACTAACAAGGGTGTGCCAAATTAGGAACCATTTAGTCTTTGGAAATTGCTGATGAAAATTTCTATTTTGTGTCAATTGAACTGGTTTCCTAAAATGCTTCATGCACATAACTCTTAGTTTATAGACAAGTCTTACCTTTACAAACTTTGCAACAGCTATGAGACAAGGTAATCTGATGAGACTCTGGACAGTCCAAAGCAGGACAGCCTGAACTCTCTACCAGCTTCATGGTCTGGTCCTGTGAGACAATGGAGAGTAAGTGCTTCCAACTTCTTAATTACTATGAAGTCTTACTATGAAGTTTCCAGATTCAGCATTTCAGAAGGAGTTTCTAATGTGAGAGTAAAATGTTCAGCCTGAAAACCTCTGCATCTGGCACAGCTCACTCACTGATGATATTAAGTTCCAACCAGAGAGCTACCATGTTACAGCCATGGGTACAAATGCCTGGATGATCCTGAACAATTCTGTTAGTATCACAAATATAGGTAACAACTAACATATATTATATAGTAGTAATATATTGATATATATCATATATGCCAAAAGAACATATATATTCTATATATAGAAACAAATAGAATATATATGATATATATGATATACTATGTAGTAGATATTATATGTAATAAATGTTTCATGTTTAATGATATCATGTTTCAAATAGAATATGCATTCTATATATATAGAAACAAATATATGAGATATATATATACAATATAATATATATTATATAGTAAATACATAATATATAAACTTTAAAAATATTTAATATATATGTATGTATACATATATATTATAATGGTAACACCAGTTTACAACACTTACAAGATTTAGAAATATAGGATCCTATGTCTTCAGGCATATGCTACCACACCACTTTTTAAACATTTTCAAAGTTTTCTAAACTATCACAGGTCATTTGGTAAGGAATGTTGGGGATCTCCCACAAAACTATAAGGGAAATGGAGACAGGACTTATGTTTCTTTTCAATGAATGCCTAACATTTTCTGGCACATAATTGGCACTCAAAGAATTCTATGAATAAATGAATAACAATGTAAAATGAATATAGTTCCAGCAACCATGGTAGGCAAAATCCTTCTAAAGGAGACACCAAAATACAAAAGTATTTTCCAGATACAAAGAGCAGCCTTGCCCTTAAGCTTACTTTGGACCTGATACTGTCAGCCTCCGATCTCTTAAGAACAAGGGCAGTTAAATAGGTTATATTACACTTAGCAGGGCATAAGTAATAAAATAAATGTTGGAACTTGTACGTTTTCATTTTAATGCTTCTTAATATTTTAGATCTTCAGATGTAATTTCTATAAATATTGCATTCATGGAAGAAGCACTAATTCTAACATCTTCCTTTTCATAGTTTATGCAAAGGACTTTCTCTGAATCATCATTACATAGCAACAAAGGGCCAGGAGATGTGTACACAGTGGAGTCAAATGCTGTCTTCCTTTGCTTTGACAATTTTATTCAATCTGGTATTTCTATTTTTGGAACCACAGTGGTTTGTTTTTTGTTTTTGTTTTTTTTTTTCTATTTTTACTATGAAAGTCACAGACCCTTTGACATATTTTCAGGGCCACAAGACTGACAATGAAGAAATAAGTAGGAACTAGGATTGGTAATCCAGAGCATGGAGCCATAAGAGCTGCCAATTATATAAAGGTACAAATACAAGAGGAGCTAAGCAGTCTGAAGTGAGAAGAGACATTTGAGGCTCTCTATGTTAAGAATTTAATCAGGAACTACAAAGCTTATGATAATTAGGTAGAATTGGGCAGTATAATCAATACTATTTAGCACATGAGACTCAAGCACTACAAGTATAAAATACACACAAGAGCTAAAATATTATTTTAAAACCACTAATTTTTTGCAAAAATAATGGGAATTTCTACATATTTCAACTCTAACTAGTATCTGGAATTTTCTTTTCCTTAGAAGTTTTGAAGGCACTACAAGGGTGAGAGTTTGAAGAAACAGTTACTGTATTCACATACTAAATTTTAAAAGACTCCTAAGAGTTTCCTTACCTTGCACTCATACAGAACACATATTCCAGAAGAGGAATAGACGGTATTTCTTTCTCCTTCAAAGTAGGTTCGTCCTTGAAATTGGCATATTGCTTTGGGATTAAAAAAATGCATATTTACTTTTTGCTTTTCATTAGGAAAAATAGCTTAGCAGTTTACAGATTCTTTGTGACAATATTCACACATTCTTACACATTTCGGAGTGTTTAAGTGACTATAAGCCCAAATTCAATCTGACATAAGGCACATGTAGGTTCAAGTTATGGTCAATTACATTAAGTTCAGGGAGTAAAATAAGATACAGAAAAAAAGAGAAGGCAAGTTAGGTTTCAACCCTGAAGGAGTGCCAGAAAGGGGACTTGCCACAAAACACTGGGCGCAAGATGAACCCCCACCGAAGGCACACTTAACACAGGTGCTTAGGGCAGCTAGAAGTTAGGGACAACACAAACAAAAAAATAGTTCATTTTTCATATGCATTACAGAATTTTAAAACAGAAATCTAGAAGCTAGTTTACTTTATATATTTTTCATGGAGATGGCATTGGCTTACACCACCATAAAGATCCAGAGACAAGGGTCATGACCTTCAGATGTATGTCACCACATGTGAATTTATTTTAATTTTAGGAAAAACATGCAGATTTTATATTTTATGGGCATTATTTTATTTGTAAATATATGTGGATTAAGGCACCCCATTTAGGAGGCTGAAAGGTCATAATCTGGGCCTCCTGGCTTCCATCACAATTAAGTCAGAATTTCTAATACAAAGAGTTGCTGTGCTGTGAGGGGATATTTCCCACCACCCACATTGCACTTCCCCTAAACAGAGACAGACTTACCCTTAAGCTAATGAAGCTTAACTTTCAGTGTCCTTTGATTTAGACACCTTTTAAGAGTCTCAGTTAACTTTTGTATTTGTTTTTATTTTTTTATTTTTGCATTACAAGAGCTGGGGTATAGGCCAGAGTTGGGGGTTTGGGGGGGGTGAAAGGATCCACCAGAGACAGAGTGGGGAGCAGAACAGGTAGATCTACTGAAATCCACTGCTGAGGGGTGTAGCGGGTCAGACAGGAGAGATCTGCCATGCCCTTGTGGGTCAGTTAACTGGCTGGGGATCGAACTCAGGCCATACAGTGACACAGCTGATACCCAACTCCCAGGTCACCAGGGAGGTCTCCATAACTTTTGTTTCTTTTGAAAGGGCATTCTGTAACAGCTAGATCATCCTAAGCTAGTTTCTCGAAAGATCAAGTGAAAGCAATCATCTGATAGGTAAAGACCCAGATACAGAATGTAATTTTAACTACACAGATTTTACAAAATGGACTTGCACATTTTTTAAAATACCATTGTAGGAAGTATTATCCTCTTCGGATTTTGCATATTCCCACATTGCTTATTACAACTGATAACAAAGAAATTAAGATCTATTTTTATTAATAATACTACATATACACACACATATATATGTATGGTTGTACAGATATTCATACTTAAAATATAAGCCAAATTTCACCTTCATTAAAACATTAAGTGATTATTTAAAAATTGCATATTTAAAGACTAGAAAGTATGCACATTTCTAAAAAAATATGATCCTCCAACTGATATCCTTATCAGCTTTTATTAACAACTTCACTCCATGATATATATCACTGGCAAATTGATTTTAAATTTTTGGAGCTTGCTGAAAAAGAATACAACTTTCTTGCATAAATTATATTGCTTAAAAGCCGGCCGAAGCCTGCTCACTCATGAATATTCAAAATTTGTCAGTTGTATTCTATCACATTATGAATTAAAATAGCATGTGTATTTACTTAATGAACTTGCTGGATTATAAAATACATCTCTCTAACACATAATTTTTAACAATGTGCTATTTTTTTATGAGCTCCAGTAACCTCAAATACATCAAATCTGGCAAACTGTGTGTTCAGTAATACTTAACAAGTACCACATTTTGTAAGATAATGAGAATAAATAGAACCTTCTTACAACTATTCTGCATCTGTCATTCAAAGATTTTTAAGCCTACTGTATTACATGATTTGATAACTGCAGCCTACTCAAATCCAAGGATATGTTAAAGAAAAAAACCTGATGTTCCCAAGTCTTTCTTAGAACAGAGGGGAAAGGAATCACTGTAGAAAAACACAAGGGTAAATTCTCCTTTAACAAATTCTTATGATCATTTAATATTCATGCAGAGCAGATGGACCTTCTGTTCTAAACTCTTAATTCAAAAGACTCAAGTAGGCAACTTGTGGGACAATAGGGCACCAAATGGAGCTTGGCAGAGAGAGAAAGCACAAAAATGAATGAGATCACAATTGCTTCATTTCCTTTCAAGCAATGAGCACAAACAGGGTGAACTTGGCTTAGGGGAAACCCAAAGTGAGTGATCTTTGTCTCATTTCTTCATTAACCAATTGCTATGATTCTCCATATTTTTCATATTTTTCCCCAAATACCTTTTAATGCCATCAGGATATGTCTTCCCGAGACTGGGGAAATTTGTTAAGAAACTCAGAAAAGTTATTATCTTTCCAAAAAAAAAGACAAGGAGTCCTACAAGGAATCATTAGGATGGTTCTGAGATTTAGGAGTAGGCGAAAGTCATATTAATTTACTAATACATTTAGCTGACAAATATTGAGCTCCTACTACATACTGAGTAGTCTGCTAGGTATTGAGATTCAAAGAGGAATAAGACATAATCCAAGTCCACACTGCACTGGGAGAGACAGTTTCATACACAACTCCAATAAATGCCCAACTAAAGCCTTATGAATAAGAAACTCATCAGTTATATGAGTTTCAGGAGACTGAGTGGTGAACTTTCAAAAGGGACAACTGAAGTGAGGCAAGAAAACAAACAAGAGCTGGTGAAGGGCCCAGACTTTGGTAACAGCAGGAAGTCATCATCACCCCAGTGCTACAGAACAAAGAAATTGTACTGCTGAAGCCCGAGGTGACCCACAGCTATGAATGAGGAGCTGCCAGTGGGGACCATAATCACGAGAGGCACAGCCACTGCCAGTAACACAGTCTGGTACAAGGAAGGAGCAAAAAGGACACACAGGCAACTCTCTTTCCTCCTGCCTTCCAATTTGTGCCAATGCCACCAACTGAGAAAACTAGCTGGCAAGGAGACCAGGGTAATAGGGTTTGCACAGTCAGGCACCTGAGCCAGTAGGGCAGAGAAGGGAAGAAATGGATCTGGGTGAGCAGGAGGAACAGCAGTTGGTTATCATATTAATTCACCTTAATCCATGAAGATGTCCTAGTGTGTAAGGATAGATTGCTGAGAGGGGTATGAGAGACTGGAACACAGAACAAAATTTTGAAGAGGAAAATAAAGACTTTTTTTAAATGCAGATCCAGGAAAAATATAGCTAATCAAAATGAGGTCTACCCACAGGTTTATGGTCAACTAATATTTGACAAAGGAGCAAAGACTATGCATTGGAGCAAAGAAAGTTTGTTCAATAAATGGTGCTGGGAAAACTGGGTCGCTACATGCAAAAGAATGAAGCTTGACCACTACCTCACACCATATACAAAAATCAACTCAAAATGGATTAAAGAACTAGACATAAGACCTGAAACCATAAAATACATAGAAGGAAATATAGGCGAAACACTACGTGATTTGCATATCAAAGACATCTTTACAGACACTTCACCCAAAGCAGTGATAGTGAAGGCAAAGATCAACAGCTGGGACTACATCAAATTAAAGACCTTCTGCACAGCAAAAGAGACAATAACAAAAACAAAGAGAAACCCCACCAACTGGGAGAAAATTTTTGCACACAACACTAATGATAAAGGACTGATCACAAAAATCTGCAAAGAGCTGATGAGACTCAACAACAACAAAGAAAATAATCCAGTCAAGAAATGGACAGAGGAGCTAAAAAGAAACTTCTCTGAAGAGGAAATGCTAATGGCCAACAGGCATATGAAAAAATGTTCAACATCACTTGCAATCAGGGAAATGCAAATCAAAACTACCATGAGATACCATCTTACACCAGTGAGAATGGCACATATTAAAAAAACTAGCAACAACAAATGTTGGCGAGGTTGTGGAGAAAAAGGAACTCTTTTGCACTGTTGGTGGGAGTGCAAACTGGTCCAACCACTATGGAGAGCTGTGTGGAGATTTCTGGACCTACTAAACATAGAGCTTCCACAGGATCCAGCAATTCCACTCCTAGGTATTTACCCAAAGAACACAGAAACATCAATTCCAAAGAACACCTGCACCCCTATGTTTATAGCAGCACTGTTTACAATAGCTAAGCTTTGGAAACAGCCCAAATGCCCAAAAATAGATGACTGGATCAAGAAGATGTGGTACATATATACCATGGAATATTACTCAGCATTCAAAAAAGATAAACACATGCAATTTGCAGCAACATGGATGGCACTGGAAGGGATCATGCTCAGCGAAATAAGCCAAAAAGAAAAAGAAAAATACCGGATGGTCTCACTCATAGCAGGAATCTAGAATACTTAAATAAGGGACCAGGAAAATGAATAACTATAAGAAAGTGAAAATCAAAATCAACAAAAACTATGAACCAGAGACACTTTTTGGGGGGGGGGGGGGAGGGAGGGATTGGGGTCAGAATGGGGGATTGCAATTGTATGGGGAATATAAAAATAAAATTTATTAATCAAAATGAGGTCTACAGCAGAAGGCAGGATAAAGGAACCAAGTCCTAGAAAGATCAAGTGTCAAAACAGAAAAGAAGGTAGATGAGGCTTAGGCCCAGGTTTTCACCAAGGCCAGACCCTGAAGGTATCATGGACAGAGCCCAATCACAATGTACCTGCCTGCTTACCTTCCTCCAGTGGAGATAAAGTCAAACTAAAATCCCTTCCTCAACAAACAACAAAGGGTTAGTCATTTTGCTGTATTGATTGGATTTCTTTAATTCCATTACATTTATATGACCCTATTTAGAGGTTTCATTTATTTTCTTGTTTTGGGATGTGTGCGTGTGTGTGTGTGGTATGTGCAACATTAAGTTATTTGTGATAAAAATGAATTCTTATTAATTTTCTGCTT